TTTTGATGACGACCATGGCAAACGACCCAAAGTCTACACTGTAAAAATATAGAATGAAACACGGTTATATATTTCTACACAATTTATAATTTTGTGCCTAAATTAAATCAATAACACTTGGAAAATTTTGTACAAGGAAATCTTAGAGATTATGTCTGTAGAAAAAAGAGAAAATGGTGAGATAATCGGGAATAATGGTGAGATAACCAGTTTATGCTGCCGTAACAACAATTCGTGTAATTCGCCTAAAGCTTTAACACAAGAAATTAATAGGCCTTATTATCAGTTTTGTAGAAAAATATTGATATGTATTTTTGTTGTTAATTTAAGCCATACATTTTAACAGTCAGTTTAGTATCTTAGGAGTGTATTTAAAATTATATTTACAAGCCATAAAAATAACTACTTTACTTTCAAGTAGTGATTGGTCACTCAAACTTTAGTTTAGTAATTCAATGACCATCGCCACCATCACCACCCTTATATCCACCACCTCCGCCACCTCCACCACCCGTACCGCTTCCCCGACCACCGTTACCTCCTCTGCCGCCACCTAAAAGCGGAAAAGAAACAAAAAGTAATTAAATGATTTCTTCCTACTTTTCTAAAGAAACTAGCGAAGATCACACTTACCTAAAGCCAACCCGAGTATGGTGAGAACCAATATAGAGATAAAACAGAGCTTCATGTTGTTCAGCCGTAAATGATCAGTGAGTGCTTAACGAATTCATTATCCCTTTTTATATGAAAGGCTTCAACTGCAAAAATAAATTATATCGGTGAAAAATATTTCACACAAAAGCTACAAAGAAATGTTATGTTTTATAGAAAATGCTAAAAGGAAATAGTGCAGTTGTTTAAATACTTAAGAAAGGCAAATACATACTTTTGGCAGACTCTGTTGTGAAAAATATTTTGAAATCTTTCTGTAAAATTGTAGTAATATAAAGGAATGTTGGGCTAAATGGATTCATTGTTTACTTACTTAATACGAACCGATCTGGCTTCACAATAATTACAAGGTAGGGTTTAACATTGGTTGAAAATAACATTTAATTCCCTTAAGAACAATGCATTTTTTACCAAGCTATTTTAATACTTGCGTAATAAACGTCAAGCTATTCAAAAGACTCATTAACTGTAGACTTCATCTTTTTATTATTGGAAAAGTTTTTTTTATACGTTGATCAAGTACAGTAATTATTGTTTTAAAATCACCCTTGTATGAATTCATAATAAGGATATAAATTCTTGATTTGATATTAAATAGAAATTATAATTTTTTAAAAAAAATACATCTTTGGGTATATATTTACTTCGAGGGTAAACTGTCGGAAATTATTTTTAAAGGATCTGTAGTTATATTTCCACAATCCTTAAGGATAATATAGTTCAAAACGGCGATATCCCACGTCACAAATGAAGCGTTCTGTCAAATTTTCACAGTTAATGTAAGTTAAACTGCCGATTATTTAAGCTGGAAAACGTCAAAAACTGATGTATTTTTCTGTCCAACGCGTCCTAAACAAGTAACGGACCAAACTGATATAATCTCTGTTTCTAACAGTCTTTTTACATTCAGAAGAAACATTATGCAGCTTTTTAAAGCTCTATTTTATTCTTTGTTTTTTTTTTTTAAGTGTACTGGAGAAAACTTGTGGGTGGTCATACTCGTACAATCAATGTCATATCTAATGAATATTTTTTCCTGTGCGCACTGTCTTTTGAAACCACAAACTTGTGAAAAACTCATAACCTTGCATCTAAAAGTCCTTTAGCATGGGTTTAGTTGCTAGTATTCACATGGCTTTGTATTCAAACAGTGATCTTCAAACATTTGTGATCCAATTTTGGCTTCCCTTGGCAAAGCTGCTAAAACTGCTCCCTCCGAGTTGCAAAATAATACTTAACTCAAAGAAAAATTTCTTCAAAAGTAGTCTAGCAACATCTCAGCTATCAAATCTTACTCATGTTGTTTGTCGGTAGCATTTTTCGAATTTCTCACCGATTTTCATTTTATCTTTTGAGTTGAAATAGGATATTTGATTTATTTATTTTAACCGTGTTCGCTTTTAAGCTTGAGTTTTTTTATTCTGCTATTTATGGGGAATTTTTACTCTAGTATAGAAAACCCCTTTTCCGTAGAAACACATATATATTTATGGGTTTTAAAAATGTGAATTGGAAGTCACGATTTTGTATAAGTATGTATGACATGAAAATTGCGATATCGATCTCTTAAAGCTTTAATGAATCTTCGCATTTAAATTGTGATTACGCATTAAGTAGAAGTCAATGTACATTGAGTTACGGGTTTGAGTTCTGGAATAATTATGGCAAGTTAGGCAATAAAAATAGTGCAACATTAACTGTTTGGGGAAAGCTTAAGTAGGAAGTACAAAAACAAAGTGAGATTTATTGCAGTATGTTCTCCTAATGTCTTAATGTATAAACCACTATAAAAAAACACACCGTGTATGTACATATTTACAAATATGCATTACCTAATACAATTTTATGGCACTCGCCACATGGGGATTCTTTGTCCGTTGACATGAATACGTCTACACCGAACCCTTTGTTCTCAGATTGATAACAAATAAGCTATTGCGTCTGATTTACGTATAAATATGACAGCTATAACGAACGTCGATCATTGCAGAGTTTAAGTTTGCAACATGAAGTTCTATACGCTCTTCGCTTTCGTGCTAGCCATGCTGGCTGTGGCATTTGGTAAGTATAGCTTCGATTATGAAAAGGAATATAGATTTGGTTTTCAGTAGGCACCAATTTACGCTCGTATTTATTTTCAGCTATTCCTAATCCTGAGCTCCGACCAATTTCTGAGCTATATCCTGGCGGCGGTGGCGGTGGAGGTGGAGGAGGTGGCGGCGGTGGTGGTGGAGGTGGTGGTGGTAAATAAGGCAGTCAGAGAATAGTTGTCTTTAATTTTTTTTTGGAAAACGATTGCGTTACTTTAAAACTTTTATATAATAAACAAAGTAATAAATACATATATACATACACACAAAAAATTATGTAATTTTTATGGAAGGAGTTTGACAGTCCAATAAATACCTTTACCACTTTACTAACCACTGTATCAATTGTTTTAAAATTAAAAAAAAAAATTAAGGATAGATTTGGTTGACTGTTCGCCTCTATCTCTCGCAACTCATCAAATGTTTTCTTGGACTCAATGTCTCCAAGAGCAGAATTGGATTACTAGTGAAGAAATTCCCTTTCTCTTGATTAATTTTATATATTTTGAGTATTAAAACAGTTCGTGATGAGTCAATAAGCAGGTATGTCTTTATACTCTTGAGTAAAAAATTTTGCTTTTAATGAGTTATATATCGGGTGATTTTTTAAGAGCTTGATAACTTTTTTAAAAAAAAAAACGCATAAAATTTGCAAAATCTCATCGGTTCTTTATTTGAAACGTTAGATTGGTTCATGACATTTACTTTTTGAAGATAATTTCATTTAAATGTTGACCGCGGCTGCGTCTTAGGTG